TGGGAAAAGTTATGCGTGACTAAATGGCAGAAGTATGCAACRAGTTTCAAAGCTTTGAATCGAGGCAAACTAGCCAACGAACAGAGAGYGTGCAATAAAAGCCATTAGAAAACRAATGCRACACAGAAGAATTTAATTTCAGTCTGGAGATGCATGCTAACCCTAACAAAAATCAGGTGAAAGTTTGAACAAATGAATTTATATTTAAGCCTGTAGCTTTGAATGACAGACTTCCTCTTTGCCACCAAAGAGCATCGTGGAAACAACTGACCTTATATATCAGTTCAATTWAAAACCGATTGGTTTTATGTTTTATAGTGAGAACCAAAAACAGTTTGTCATGACTAATGAGAGCAAAGCCTAGTTTCTGTACAGTCATGTCATCTCCAAACAGTGACTGCACACTCACACTTCCGTTGGCCTATAAGACACAAAGCAGGGTTTTCCCTCTCTCAAATGTTAGAYGGGTAGGAGACACAACACACATGATGTGAGTAAAACTTCATTCATCACGAGCCSAGCAGGGACAAACAAGAAACAGAGCAAAACAATAAGGTCATCCTTCAACTTACTGTGATCTTTGCCCTGACCCACAGCACTGGCTACACTGGGCTGAGGGGTGACAGGCATCAGGGCCTGTCTGATGGCCTTCTCCCAGCCTTGGGCCACCTCCACGCCGACCCCCGAAGCAGCCAGGACCGGGCTGTGGTAGTGACTGCCGTTGTTCTCGCCTACATAGTAGACCATGGTGGCTGTGATGATCTCAAAGCAGTGAGGGTTGCTGCCCTGAGCCAGATTACTGAAGTCCCTGAAGGGTTCGACCTGAAGGATCTCTGACAGAGGGATTTCCTGTGGGAGCAGGGAGAGATGACGGAATGAATGAAAAAAACCAAGCTGCTCACCCAACATGAGTTCAGTCTCTGTTTTAGCCAAAACTTAAGAGGGGTAAAAATGACAAAGAATATAAATATCAGACCAAAAACTGTCCACCTAACCAAGTTTTAAAATCTTATATCAGCCAAAAAGTCTATTTGATCTTGTTTTGAGACTGATTTACTAAACAAGAACTGATTGTGTAAGAATAATAATCTTGTTTTCAGAATGTGTAAGATTATTTGTCTTGTTAGCCTGAAAATTTGACTCAAATTAAGCAAAAAAATTTCTGCCAATGGAGTAAGAAAATTTTACTTGGTAAGATTCTTAAAATACTTCATTTGACTCAGTTTTTTCTTATTTCAAGAGTCTTACAAGTGAAATTTTCTTACTCCATTGGCAGAAAGTTTTTTTACTTAATTTGAGTCAAATTTTCAGGCTAACAAAGACAAATAATCTTACA